TCCTTTAATGGGAGCGAATAACTGAAGGCGACTTAATTTCGTTCTTGGAAGCATTCAGAATTCAGTTCCATTGGATCGGCTTACTGCGCCATAAAGCAAAAAAGTGTTGTTTTAATTTAAGGGGTGTTTATTTATATTTTCTTTTTATTGGAATATATAATACAATCTACATACAATTACTTGTTGCATGCGACTCACTCAAAGAGTTGCGGCTCAGGCTGATTGTCAACCCCTGCCCCTGCCTCTGCCCCTGCTCCTCTAGCGCACCCTGTACGTCTGTTTGCTTGTCGTAAAACGCTTTGCTGGCAATAAAAGCAGTTAACTAGCTAGATTTATTGTACTAAAATATTGTTTAAGTACACAGTAAACAAGAGCAACAGCTACTAAAACTACGTTGCAAAAGGTATAGGAACAGATAGACACGGACACGGAATTTTTCAGGTGCTTTAACTTGCTCTCTAATTGCTCAATTGGAGTTAACTGTCCAGCATAAATAGGCATTAAAATCTTTTACTGTCACACATCATAAATCAAATGCCATAAAATTTACATATATTAAGCTAATAATTATAAAATATGACTGATACAACAATCTTTTAATGTATTTTTATTGGAACATTTAAAATATTTCACTTTACTCAACATTAAAGAACCCGTTATAATATATGTCAGTCTATTAGAATCGTTGTTTGAATCCTCCAATTGGAAATATTCAAATAATATTAAAGGATATTATGATTCCCTCTACTTTTGAACAACTTAGTATCCCCTTGAGCAAACCACAATTATTAAAACTTTAACGCTGAATAATGTTTGTTAATAATAATAAATACATTCAATTTAACCTCCGATTTTAATTATGAGGCCAGAAAGGGAAAGTTCCCATTCTTGATATTGATATGAAAGTTCTTAACAACAAATCGTGTTTCTCTTCATTCGCTAACACTAACCGCCTTATTGATACTATAGAAAACCTGCTTGTTAAACTACCGCTAAAATAAATTTCCCTTGCACAATTAGTTGGTATTCTACAATTGGATTTTATACATAATCAAAAATAGGCAGGAAAAAGGCTACACTAAACAGTATGACAAGAATTGATAACTGAAGAGAATTAATACAACTGCACAAAGACAAAACGTGAAATGGGAACCCGAGAATTGTTTAAGGGGCAGTCGCCATTTTAATGCAGCTTGTCACATAAACGACAATGCTTCGCCTGACAGAATCTGAGTTGTAACAACATATGCTCTAGAATTGTATCTTCGAGATTTCAAAGGTGCCTCCACCTCTTAAATATTTCCACAAAATGTCTCGCATCGTAGCTGTCAGTACGATATTCCATATTTCTCTGTATCTTCGTGTTCATCCCTTTGCGTTTCTGTGCTTCTCTTTCTTCTAAATGTGGAACATGTGGGCTTGTGTGTGTTTCTTTTCGACTGGCTTCGAATTGTGTTGTTTGTCGTTCTTGAAGCAAGCTGTATTTTTTCTTATGAATACCAATTGCCCATACCCTGTTGGAGCAAATTTTTATTATTTTTATAAAAACAGGAATGAAAAGGCAAAGCGAGAAACTTGTTCGATGCCCTGCCCCAGCGAATGCGTTGGTTTCTCTGCGTGCTTCTGCATGTTCCTTAAGACTTGGTCGCATATTGCCTCTGACTTCACCTCCGACTCCGACTGCGACTACTCATGCCGAACGGGAACCAGAAAAACCACAAGATTTTTCTTCCACGACTCAAGACGGTAATTTTGATCTCTGTTTGCACAGTTTCCAAGGTGTCCAAGGTGAACTTATGGCTTATCTAGATTCTTCGGTTTCTACTCGCTGTACTCTTTACACGGAAAACAATTTAAATCAAAAGGGTTCTGGGAATAAAGAAATTCAAAGCAATTAAAAAATCATCGCTCCCATTGGGCAGTTGCAGACGCTAGGGACAGTCAAAGTCGCGGAGCCTCATAATAGCTCATAGCTGGGAGAAAGATCGTTTAGTTTTGGGATAGGGAATGTGACTGGGACGGGGCTGGCGACGAGGCCCCCTTAGCCGGAGGTGCTGCCCGGCACTGAGTAGTGATGTGTCTAATTGGATAACACAAATTTTATTTAATTCGTTCGCAGCATCTAACAGACCACCGAAAACCCGATTTTTTGTTTTTTGTTTGGTCTGCTTTTTTATGATAGTAAAGCCAATGAACTTTTCTCTCACCATAACTATTGTGTTTGTTTAACTATTGGCTGCCGGCTGTTTCTACGGGAATTCTGTAACTGCTGCTTCTTCATCATATTGCATGTGAATTTATTTAAAATGATCATACTTGTTTTCGTGGTAGGTTTATAGTTGTTTGAATTCGAATTTTTTAGTCAGAGAGGGTCAACATACATAATGAAGCCATAAGCCTCCATTGCGTCCATAAACCCATTTGAATATTAATTCTGTTAATTAACTTATTCAAATAGGAGCATCGTTAAATATGAAAGAAACTCTTTTTATTGCTTTCCCTTCATTCTTTTTTTTTTTTAATTTTTTCTTCTTTTTTGTGAACGCCTTTTTTTTTAGACTACAACAGAAAACACGCGAATGAAAGGCTTCATTGTTGTTGACTAATTATTACAACTTTTTAAGCGTAAAGCAATAAAATAGTGAGACATCTGTGCACACACACACACATCTAATCATTTTATAAAAGTTGTCAATTCATATTTTCCAGATAGAATTCTGTAAGTAAACAGCGTGAACTAACGTGTTTATACCATGTTGCTACAAAAAAGTCGGTAGATCGGTTCACGTATCAAACTAATGCTTCGCATTAATTTTCGGTTTGAAAACTAGATTTTTTAGTCCCGAAAACCCTGTCCCTATTTTAATAACAAAAATAACTTTTATATAATAATTTTAAAATCATCCCTTAATAATATATATATTATCTAAACACTGCCTCTAAGGCCGAAATCTAATTCTGTCGTTTCACTTAATCTATTTAAAAACAGGAGAATCATTAATACAATTTTGAATTAAATCTGAATGTGATCCATGTCATTACATAATATTGCTTGTTTTGACATGAAGTGCGACTGCTTGGGCATTTCTGTATTATAACAGTTTAAATCAGCCAGAAAAAGTCTTCTTCATTATAGCGATAGTATCTTAAATAATTATTCTTATTCTCATTTCGCTGCAGCATTTCTTTTTGCTTTACGTATGGATGCTAATATGTATTGATTTGCTTATGTATGTAAGTGAAGTAAGCAGTTGGGCGGTTGGCAGTACAAATAGAGTTGACTTTGACCCTGACACCGCTCAAGGCAATGCAAACGGCAATAACAACAACAACAACAGCGATAACAGCATTGGGAAGTGGAAGTTGACGTTGAAGTGTGAGCCAACTATTGCACAATGCAAATGCGAAACGAGGAAACAAATTTTACGACGTGTTTGACGGCTGTCTGTTTGTCTGTCCCTCTGCCTTGCTGTCTGTATGTTTGCCTAGGTCGGTGCTCACTTCCGCCCTCCAGGCCGTTCAGACACAATGCACCCCGCGCTCTGCGCCCTGGTTGGCTGTCGCGGCAGTAGCAACTCCGTCTGGTCCGAATGCATTATTACCTGCCGGGTGTCAAACACAAACAAGACGTTTGCGCCAGCCATAAAGTCGTAAGATGACCTCTCTGGACAGGCGCAAGGACGGAAACATTGCTGCCTCGTTGTTGGTGTCTTAACCCTTAAGTGTGCGGGAAAAGTGAACGTCAAGCGGCGCCTGCAATATATCGCATTGTTGACATTGTATACTCCTGATATTACTTTCAATATTCAACATTGCGTTTCTCTCTCTCTCTCTTTTCAGCCCTGCTTACATTATTTGTGGCAGCAACATTTAACGAGATCACATCTATTCCGTCAACCGTAGCAGCGTCAACGAGAGTCAATCACAGCAGTGGCGTCCAGCCAAACCCATATTGTTGCGCCGATAGCGGCGAGTGTCTCCCCCTCCAGTGTCAGCTCCCAACCACCAGGTAAGCACTCGCCCCATTCCATTATCAGGACTTTCACACTTTGCCTTGAGTTCCGGGTAAAGTGCTGTAATAATAACATAGAATTAAGCAGATGTAATATCCACTACAGTCCAGAAATGATGAGGATCATAATTTGCATGCTTGGGCTATATCGAAATCCCATTAATAGCCTTCTAAATGGTATAACATTTTGACCTGTTTCTATCGATCTGTATATATTCTGGAATATTCACATTCTAACAACTCGATACTTGTTGTTTTTTTTTGTGAGAGGCGAGAAGTTTGGGTCACTATAAAATAAAAATGCCAAAGGAATGATTTGTCATGTTGTATGCAAGGTTAGTTTATTTTTATGTCTTCTTTATTTAATTAGATATTTTTGCAATTAATACCCCTCGCCACTATTGGAAAAGACCTTAAATAGGTCTAAATGTCTACATCTGTAAGGGTATTAAGTCTTCTATTATCCTCGACTTATATAAATTGTTTGTGTGTGTGTGTGTCTGCCTGTTTGTGCTTGTGTGTGTGTTTATGGGAAATTTGTATCCTATCATTCTCAACATTTCCCCGCCCTTACAAGTATTAGAGCCGCTTTCTTCCTATAGAAATTGTCGTAAAATACTCATAATTGTCTAGAGTTAAATTCGGCAGTTGTCGAATGGGTCGGGTCGGGTCGAGTCGGGATGAAACGAAACGAGCCGTGCAGGGACCCGTAGATATTGCTTCTTAGGCGAGGGTAAGTGGCAAAGACATGGCAATTGTCTCAATTTGTCTGCTGTCATAAATTACTGTGTATATGTATATATTTATTTAGCTCATTTTGATTAATTAGCGCCTAGAAAGGGGTCGTTTTAATACTGTGGTATTTTGCGTGTGTACATTATAAAGTACGAATCGAAGTCGCCTTAAATGTTTGTCGTATTGTTGGTTTTTTGTTGCCATTGCTTTTGTTTTAGGACCACCAAAAAAACATCGCATGCCAACAAAAACAATGTCATGGGGGCAGCCCCAGTCCAGTCCCATGGAAACCTCGGCCATAGATGGCGCTGCTGTGCGGCAGCGTTAAATATATATATTTAAATCAGCCCCAAACAGCTAGAAAACACTTTTTTGTTGCTGTAGCACACAATAGAAAGAGTATAAGCTAAAGAGAGAGAGAGAGAGAGAGAGAGAGAGAGACAAGGAGATATAGATGGAGAGAGAGAGCACTATGAAAAGAGCAAACAAAGGCAGAGATGTACATGTACAGTGTATGTGTGTGCATGGATGCGTTTGTGCTGGGATGCCGACGTCCTCTTGGCAGTTCACCTGCTAAATACCCAACTGATTATAATCGATATTGATTTGGTCTCCATTATCTCAATAAAAATAAAAAAAATAAAACCAACAATTCTAAAAAGCATTTACTTTTTAAATTGGCGGCCAAGCTCTCTTAAAGTCTTGCATGGGGACACATGTACGTCTGTACATGTGCACATATACAGGCGTGCGCATATTCATGTTCACACACATACCGTGCGTGTGCATAACGCGCGCCGCAAAGAGAGAGACCGATAACAGCAACCACCACCATACACGTACACTGTTTGGCTTCGACACTCACAGTCTAGAGCGTGCGCATGCGCGAGGCTCTCTTGGGCACACGGACACAAGGCGCCGCGTTGTCAGGCACACGTATCGAATGCCTTTTGTTCACATCTTGACTCTGACTGACTCTTGCCAACGTCCGGCGTCCGCCGTCTGTCGTTTGTTTTGTGAGAGTGAGAGTCGACACCAAGACTCCACCGCTTGGGCTTGGGCTTCTGCTGCTGCTGCTGCCTCTGCCTCTGCTGGTTGTCGCCGTTTTCGCTGACGTTGTCAGTGTAGATTTGTGCTTCGCTCTGTACGGTTGAAGACGTGCGGGCGTTTTAAAGGCAACGGCAACAACAATTGCGACCAGAGTATCCCAGTAGCCACTTCTACATCGAGAACTTTGACTTAGACACATTTGTTTCTCGTTTTCCACACTGCTTAAAGCGTTTTAGCGGTGCGGTTCAAACAATTCGTGCAATAAGGAATCTTTAACACTACAAAAATACGAATAATAAAATTAAAATAATGTGCTATTATATATACAGTTTTTTCACTGTTGCGAGCGCCGAGTTTAATTGTTTGTTTTGATCGTAAAATCAAATTTTATGACCAGCAACATAAAAAACAAAAAAAAGAAAAACAAATAAAAATTCAACCACACAACTTATACTCACTCTCACGCACTAAAAATTTCGCGCGCCATTTGTGCCGGCCTAAAGCAAGTTATAAAAAACAATGCAATGCTAACAAGTTTGGAAAGTGAACAAAACGAGAACTACTGTAAAAGAAACTTGCAAAGCAGTGATAAAAAGTGAAGAACAATTTTGAACATATATATAAAAAAAGGAATCAGATATATAATAATATGTTGTTTGTTTTTTACAAAAAAAAATTTAATTTGTCGAAAACCAACTGAAAAAAAGCCCAATTTGAAAACATTTGTGCGAGTTCTGAACACCATAGTCACCCTGTGCTCGTATCTCTCTGACTTGCTTTCGATCAAAACGCTCGCCTAACCAACGGCAACTGTGGGTGGTATTTATGTAATTCGCGCTCTCTTCACCCGCCCAGTGACGCTCTTCACTCTGCCGCTCTCCTTCACACGTAGCACACTCACTTAGCTTTGAGTGTTGCATGCGTGTGTGCGTGCGTGTGCGTGAGTTCACCAACGACTGCTGTAGTCGTAAAAAACTGTTTTCATATGACTTCAAATAAAATCAGACCAAAACGCAGCAATCAAGCACAATTATCGTAAAATAATTAATTTAAATTAAATTTACATACGCCGAAATTAATAAAATATATTTGCGAAATATAAGAACTCAAGTAAGAAATAAAGGAACAATTGTTCGGTGGTCCTGGGCCGCGTCCCGCTTGGTGTGTTTGGTGTGTTCTCAGTGCCTTTTGTTCCCGCCGACTGACTGAACCGCATTCAAAATAACCGTAAATATTCCACCCCTCCCCCAAACCCCAACCATCCCGCTGGCGTGCGCTCTCTACGACCCCCACGATGTCTCGGCAGTCGGGTCGCACGCCGCTGCCGGGGCTTGGTGGGGGCCACATCATACACATCCACATCCGCACCCCCACCCCTCAACGACTGGCGCCTCGGCGGTCGCGTTGCACCACCAGCAACAGCAACAGCAACAACAGCAACAACAACAGCTTCAGCAACAGCAATTACAACAGTCCGCGCAGCATCTGCAGCAACTGCATCACCATCCGCACCACCACCACCACCTGCCTCAGACCCAGCCTCTGCATCATCACCTGCAGCACACGGTCGTGTCGTCCGCCTCGGTTGGATTGTCCACGCCAACCTCTGTACTCCAGCAGCAGCAACAGACGACGCCAACAACACATTCCACGCCCACGCATGCAGTTATGTATGAGGATCCACCACCCGTGCCAATTGTGCCCGTGCAGCAGCAGCAACAGCCGCCTCTTCAGCATCTGCCCCCGCCACAGCAGCAACAGCAACAACAACAGATTACAACCACACCCGTTGGCAGTGCCCTTAGTCCCGCCCAGACGCCGACTGGCCCCACTGCACAGCAGACGCAGCACCTCACATCACCTCATCATCAGCAACAACAACAACAACAGCAACAACAGCAGCAGCAACAACAGCAGCAGCAGCAGCAACAACAGCAGCAACAACAGACGCCTAATAGCGTCTCTAGTGGCGCCTCCTCAAGTCTCCAACAGCAACAGCAACAACAACAACAAAACTCGGTTGTGGCGTCAGCCCAAAGTCAAATTGTTGCGCCAACAACGGCGAGTGTCTCTCCCTCCAGTGTCAGTTCTCAGCAAGCAGGTGAGCAGTCGAAAAGTTCACGTTTACCGTTTCGAGTTGCCTTTCGATCACTTTATGCCCTATCCACTGTAAAGAAATCCAAAGCTCCCATATACTATATAAGCTAGGAACTTGCGTATTACTTACAAGCATAAGCATTATGATCTGCTCACATACGAGAAAAGTTAAAGGTCTTTTAAGACTGCCTTAAATATATATGATCTATTAAGAATGCTGTTGGAAACGAATGACTTCTGAAATTGCTTCTATCTTAATATAATTCACATAGAGTCGAGTTATAAACCTTTTTATAAGACTGGTTAAAAATTATAATTATTTTTTTTTCCTATATTATTAGTATTAATGTTATTATTATTTTTAATATTAATATTATTATTATTTATATTATAATTTTTGTTAACAGCCTATGCTATTTAGTTTTAATATATATTAACTTAATCTATTATTTGCTGAACTCACTGAAAATGAGTAAATGTTATGTAAATGTATGTAACAGGCTGATGGAAGCAATTTCGATCCCATTAGGTATTTATGTACTTGATCAGGATGACAATCTGAGTCGATATCCCTTACCCGTATAACCATCCGTGTGCATGACTGTTTATCTGTGTAAAGCTAGTGATTTACATTCTTAACTTTAAATTCGGATATACCATGCGCAGAACGAGATTCCATTTTTTGGTTAAGTCCTCCCATTTTTAAAATATCGATAAATATATTATAAGGTTTTTTTAAATCACCAGTTCAGGGTATCTCCTAGTCAGGCACTCAGAACTACATAGATCGCTTTTACTTAAATTCATTGAAAATAAGTAAAGCAATCGAAGGCTTCTCAGACCACATAAAGAACATATTTTCTTGATTAGCATCGACCGCTGAGTTCATCAAGGCATGTCAGTTAGCCTGTCTGTGAAAAAAAAAACGTGACCATCTCGGGGAAATATAAGATCTGGGTACTTGAAGTTCGTTTCAAATTATCTATAAATTGACCCCCTTTCATGAAGGACAGATATCCGGGTATTCGATCATATCTCGGAGCTTATAAGAGATGGTGTAACCAAATTTAAAATGTAGTTTCTGGTATAGTTCTGTGTATAGTAAACTTTTTGGTTACTCCCCCACAATCGTAAATGATGCATTTGTATATCTATATTTATGGCATGGATATTTTGTAAGGATCGAACAATGTTCCCATAGTGTTGTCCTTAGGAATAAAGAAGCACAGTCCTAAAGGTGTGTGTCTGTTAGTGTGTGCTTGTGTATTTTTGAGTATATATAGTAAATTGGAATGTTTGCATCGGTACCTCGGCACTCAGCTCGAGTTATCTCACAGTGGGGCACGCCCAACTAGGGCATTCTTACATTTTAATATTGTCCAAATTTAATTTTCCAGAATACTATAGAATTAGTATATTACCTTGCTTATGTCATAAGTATACTACTGTAACAAGTATGTTTTTTGTTTTTTACGCATCTTGTTAGGTCGTTGGTGCCTTATAAGCCGGTTGTATATCTTTGGTTACATAATAGCGCTGGGTCTCGAACAATATTTTAAAAACTTGATATGTATATAATAATTTGCTTCTTATAAATGGTTATTACTCGGTTATTAACGAAAAATAAAGAGTTATAACTTGTTAGTAAGCATCATTTAAATGGTTTAATAAGACAGCTTTAAAGTTCTTGTTTTTGGTGTACTTATGGGTAATTTTACCACACTCTGTCTCAAGTATTAACTGTATTTGTACAGAAAGTGTTTAGGAGCGTAATAAGGAACGAATACGTTCGTTAAGTTGTTTCATATGACAGCTCATCAATAACGCGAATATTTCTCTGTTGTTTTTTCTAGACATGTCCATCTCATTAGCGCCAATACATATACCCGCGATCAGGCCCGGCTTCGAAACGGACGCTGCGACGCCCGTTAAACGGCACGCGCATCCCTGGCCCTACGACAACGAGTTCAACCAGTACCATGCCTCGCCATACTATCTCGATCGGGATCGCAAGCCCATGTTCTACGGTTACCCAGAGACCCAGTTTCAGGTGAGTGCACGAGGCCGACAACGACGTTCTATCCGGCTCGAATCGCGCGCCGGTCTCACCAGACTCGACAGCCGTCTCGTAAACAACTCAATGTCAACTTTACCCTTGCCTTTTTTCCCCATTGCCCCATTCGCCCACGTTCGACATGCAGCCTGCATATTGGCCCAACTACCGTGATCAGCCGACCTCTGCTGCAGCGGCGGCCTACATGAGCGCCACCGACGAGCGCCATGCATCAGTCAGCGCGGCAGCAGCGGCGCGCCAGTCCGTGGAAGGCACCTCTCAGTCCAGCTACGAGACACCCACTTACTCCTCCCCAGGTGGGCTTCGCGCCTTCCCCGAGGCCTACTCGAGCACAGGTAAGTCGCAAGCAATTCCAATTGCCCACAGATCTCTGTCGTTATCGCTGTTCGCATAGTTGTTGTTGTTGTTGCCTCTGCTCGCTGCGGAAAAGGCAAAATGCAAATTGCGACACTGTCAAGTTTGCCGTTTAATTAGCGTATTGCAAAATGCCTCATAAATTTATTTGCGACATTCAGCCAAGGTTGTGCTCCTGTTATTGGGTGTGCCAATACATAATAACAATTACTGCCTACCCTAAGTGTGGGGGTTCACTTCAAAAGAACCCTCTTGGGTTGAAATAATCGAGTATTAAGTTGCTATCACACAGCATAAAATTATAAAATATAATTTATCGTAACATATTCATAAACAGTATTTACTAACAGTATTTACGTACAATGAATATGCAGACAAATTTGATTAGAAAGTGTAAACAATTGAATGTTAAGTATTTCATTACATTATTTACCTGCTTTGTTCGTTTTGGTAGCATCTGTAAACTATAAGCTAAGGTTATTTTTTTGTAATATACAATATTTTTTTCAATTTTAAGAAATCAATAACTGATACAACTATAGACATAAATCAGTGAGCTGTGAACACACTATGTTGAGATTGTTAATAAATCATTAATTTGGTTTCATTTGACTCTAGGCACGTCTGGTGGTCTCTCGGTTGGTGCAGTGGGTCCTTGTACGCCGACAAATGCGATGCACGAGTGGACCGGTCAGGTGTCGGTGCGAAAAAAGCGCAAGCCGTACTCAAAGTTTCAGACACTTGAGCTAGAGAAGGAGTTTCTCTTTAATGCGTACGTGTCCAAACAGAAACGCTGGGAGTTAGCTCGTAATCTGCAGTTGACGGAGCGTCAGGTATGTGGAGAATGTGCATCAGTTGAAATAAGGAGCTAACTTAATGTAAATTTCCAACTTTATTACGTGTGTTTAGGTTAAGATTTGGTTTCAAAATCGTCGCATGAAGAATAAGAAAAACTCGCAGCGACAGGCCACTCAACAGAATAATAACAACAACTCCAGCAGCAATCACAACCATGCTCAGGCGGCACAGCAGCACCACAACAACCATCACTTAAACTTGGGCCTGAGCATGGGTCACCATGCCACAAAAATGCACCAGTGACCTTTGGACAACAGCAACGCTGGCGCTATGGGCTTTGCCACCTACTAGCATTTAGCCAATCCCAATCCGAATCCCCATCCACAGCCGGACCACAATTTTAATACAAATACAAACATCAATCCAATTAAAAATGAGATGATATTGGATTTTCCGTGCTAGTTGAAAGATGAGTCCAAGCAGTACAAATACATATGCATACACATGCATGCATGTGTATCCCAAACAAACCACGGGGTTGTACTGACTGATCCGTAGGAGGCGAAGAAGGTGGTGGAGGAAGTCGAAGTGGATGAAGAGGAGGCAGGCAGCCCAGTTCATGAGTCGGTGTCGCTGTTTTCAGAGTTTAAATCTTTGGCAGACCGGCCAAGGGGAGTTGAAAATGTATGTTCAATGAAATACAATTAATTAATAAGTACGTTCTTCAAATATCTATAAACAAGCAAAACAAATGTAAATTAACCCGTCTACTGAAGCTGGGTGCGGTAGTTAAATCCGATAGACAGTTAGCTGCATAAAGCAACAAGTAAACAAATTCTGAAATATATATATTTGTTTATGTATTTCTCTTAACTCTCTCATAAATTAACGCGCATACTTATTAATTTTCAACAATAAATATATGCATATATACTTATATACCCATATTAATTATGAATACAGAAACAATTCGAGTAGTAGATTCTAAATGTAAGTGCAGGTTAAATTGAAGTGACAAGCACATTGTACCCCCGTAAAATGTTCTTAATGTGGAACGAATAAATTGTTTAACAATTTTCACAGACAAAATGGTAGCCACATAGCATGTACACAAACCCATAGATGGACACACACACACATACAGAAAAACAGAAATATACCTTTGCATACACACACGCCCAAACGCAAACACACCGCAATGCAGCTAGGCAGCGCCGGAATTATAGCATACATTTTGTCATTATATTGTTCGTTGTGTCGTGTTCTTAGATAAATATTAAGTTCCTGTATATAAACTAAGACATTAAATCACAACATGAAAGCACGCGCAAAGTTAGTGAAACCGTCTGTGTTTTGTGAGTTAAATGAAAAACAAAATAAAAACTTAGTACATGAAAACGAAAAAACAAAAACAAAAAAAAAACAAGTAAAAATCTTAAAACATATGAAACTAGCAATTAAAATACAGATGTCGAATTCATTTTATTAAGAGTATAAATTGTAAATCAAAAGTTTTTGATGTGTGTGCAAATTTACTTCATAGTTATTGGCGCTTTTGATCTGAAAAAAAACAAAATAGTGCACGTAAAGCTAAATATAAAACTAAACTTTAAACCCTAATCTAAACCTAAACGGAATGAAAAACTAAAGAAGAAAATACATTTTAATACTACTTGTAAGAAATATAAGTGGCATCAAAAGAAGTTGAGCAAACAATTAATTTACAATACATACCTTAAAGCTATTTACTGTACTTATATATAGTACATACATATAAATAAGGCACATATGCAGACATATATTTTATGTATATCGACTCAGCTTAATCCTGATATTACATCTAAGTTCAGTTATGTTGTGTAATTATCGAATTTTTGTTAATGTTTTGCTTCATACATTATATATTGTATCATATACATACATATATGTATAATATCGTATGCCTATACATACATACTTACTTATTAATGAAATTATTTCGCCAATTGCTTTATCCTAGTTCTTGTATTATTATTCTTTCACACCTTTTCATAAGTTGTAGTCTAAAGTCGGTTATGTTTATGCTTATGTTCGATTATAGTTTGTTTAGTAAATTTTTATATAGCATTAGCAATTCTCTTTTTTAAAAAGTTAATTATTGTGAATAAAACATAAAATTGCAAAAAAATAAATGCAAAAATACACACAATTTCAAATAACGATTAGAATGCTATGTACTTTTGTTTCTAATCTACTGAATCCAAGTTCCAGATAATTTTATTTGTTCGCTCGGTTACCAAATATGACAACAGTCACAGATTATTCTCGTCTTAGTCTCAAGTATTCAGCTAAATCGGTAGATAAATGTGATTGTCTTTTAAAATTATTATTTTTTATCTTGCTATTGTTTTAGTCATTTCTTAGATTCGATTTTGTTTGGTAAGTACCGTCGGCCAGTATTAAGGGTTCCTCCGCAGAGGTTTTCAGAGCTCAATGCGATTCAAGGACGACCTCTCAGTATCGAATTTATTCATAAGCATCCATAGAAGTTACTCGTTCAAAGTATAAATGAACTTAGTATCTATCCGCACAAAAGCAGATACATTCATACCATCACACTTAACAACGCAGCCTTTTCAAACTGAAGAGTTGTTAGCTAAAACTTGTTTGTTTTTCTCAAATTCTATCAGTTCAATTAGATCAATAATTTGTTTTCTGCTTTTTTGTGAGATTTTTCTTTCTTTATGAGATTTCCATAAGTTTGCTTCTCTTTTTTAACACATTGTAGCGCTTTAATAAATTCAATCTAGATTAAAATTGTTTTGAAATATGTCATAAGGTTAAATAAACTATTATGTAACTGTGATGTTTGAAGTTTTATTTACAGCTGGAGTAGTGTAGGACACAACACATATGAGTTCTTGTTCCGAAATATAAAATTGAGATATAAAACATGTACGTACACGATTTATAAAATAGACTCACATTTCATATGTATGCCATATTATTACTTTATTTATTATGCTATCACAATACGTAATTCTTATACTGTGTTCATAAAGTTAATAATAACAGATTGGATGTGTTTGACATGCTATCCGTCTATTCGTAAAAAACATAACGCCCACTAAGGGACGGCTATACTTAAAAACTATTCAAGTCAAAATTTTCATATAGATTACTAAATGCCTTCTGCAAAGATCGAAACATACCTTTTGCGCCTTCGTCTCCGCCGACACAACCCAACCTGGTAGCAAAATTACTTAAATCATTATTGCGTAAACTCAAGACATGGGCTTAAAATTATAAGAGATACTAAACACACCAAACTGGGTATAACCCTCTGTATTCCTCAAATAATTAAAATCACCCATTTTTAAGTTGCATGCATACACTTTCTTAAGGATCGGTTCATATACATCGAAGTTATACAAGAACGCATTTTCAATAGTTTGGTGAAAAGGGAAAAGGAATCACAGTGCCGCGTAGAGTGCGCATCAATTGTATCTATAGAAGAAAGTAAACATATTTGTAACGACTACTGTCCTAGTCGGCTTTTTCCGGCACACATTAATGAAAGCATGTACGTCCCCATAAAGTCTATATATATATTCTTGGCAACAAAATCCGTTCTTGCCATGCCCGTCTGTCTGCCTTTCTCTGGATTCATCGGTCTCTGTGAACGCGTCGATCTTTACAAGAACTACAGACTTGAAATGTGAAAGTTAGTTTATTTTAAATAACTGGTGGCCAAAGCATAGGTGTATGTATTTGCGCTGGGTTCAGGATATCTCTTAGTTGGTTATCTCTCTCTGAATTGCTTACCCATTCTCAATGGGCTGAAATCGATCTGTCCACATGAAATATACTAATACTTATATGCTATACTACTTAAGCTCGGTATATATACATATTTATCTCGGTATATATAGTCGAGCACACTAGCGTTAAGCTAACGATTATATATTGGGATTTATTATCAGGTACATATCCGCCACCGCCAAAGACATCAAACTAATGCCTCAATATCTCTTTCAATATTGAACAAATTTGAGTTCGCTTATTTAATTCCCTATATACTGGCCATTGGGTTGAAAATTTAGTTTGTATATAAAAAACAAAACATATAATTTAACAAATCCAAAGTGACCAATAATATTGCAATGGAATAAAATGTTCTGTGAGCAAGTAGACAATTATACACCACTTTTGCAATTTGTCTACCAGGATGTTTTATCTTTGGCACCCCGACAATAACAAGTCTTTATTATTTTAGTCTGTACCCGATAAAGTATTGATTTCATACAGACATTTTTTAAGTTAATTTGAAAAATATTTAAATTTCGTATACCCTTTACCCATTGCAAATAGTTTAACTGGGCGATGAGCTGAGTCGATCATTTATGTCCATCTGTCGTCCTCGGAAACTACAAAAGCTAGAAACTTAAATTTGAAATATATATCTTCGTATACAATACGTAAGCCGAGCTTAAAATTGTTTGTCGGTATCTCGTCCCATTGCCGAAATGTCGATAAAATCAATTTTGTAACATGGTTTTCAAGCATAATTCAGAAACTATAAGAACTAGATATACCAAATTTTGTATGTGGGCTTTCGTATAGTATGCACAGACTAGAAATATAAAATTTTTTGCACTATTTTGCCCCCATTCTTCCCAAAACTAAACAATCCTATTAAAGCTAGCGGACTTGGATCATACACACATTTGAACACCGTATTCATGCCCTTTGAATTTCACGAATAGCGGAACAGAAACATAGAAGTTATTCAACAGTTAATTTCCAATTATCTGTAAGTACCTGCATAAGCATTCTGGAATGCATATTGGGTTATATTCAATGATTTAAGAAAATCAAAGCTGAGGAAGATATTCAAAATATTGTATTGACTGAGGAGAACAGAGAATTTTGTAGTCCAATAGACTCAACTTCAGCGCTATTACTTCTTTTTGGCGCTGTAAAAGATTCAGATTCCAAGGTTCAGATGTACATTGTTATACTAGTTTTTAACCGCGCAACATAATATGTTCAAGATTTTTGATTAAGAGTAACAGTGCTCTAGTAGGGAATGCCCGAGTAGAAGACACCCTGTTTCTTGTGCTGCCGTTAAAAACATTATCACTTTCCTTTACACATATATACACAAAAACTCTTATACACAACTGCCTACTTTATACAGTGGATCTATTTCTTTCTCCCGCAGCGCCAAACATTGGGATATTCATATTTAATGAACTTTAGTGCTTATAGCCCGAGCTCTATGAAATTTCCAAGGCCTGAATAAGGCATCCATAAATGAGTGTGTATCATAACCAGGGATATAGCAAAAAACTGCGTTTTATTCATTTTGGCGGATAGAGCGAAATATTCCTGATCGGTGTTTATCATACGAGAACCTACATGACAATTTCGGTGTGATTTGCTCTCACAATAAATTAAAAATCTACTTTTAATGGAAACGGGAGAAATATATCGAACAAAATGTGCAGCTCTCATAACAGACGACGATGGCTACATCGGCTCAGCTCGCCGGCCTAATAAAGAATATGAATATAATGAGTTATGAGTTTGGTGACTTTTTACAGCATTATTGTATTCTTTCTTTGCCAGGGTATACTGAAATGTGGGCGGCATATAGTGCCGAACTAAAATTACAAACATTCTAGTTTCCATTTGCACATACGCACATACTAAAAAACCAATATACATACACAAACACACGCCATTCGGCTAATTATGGGTTGGCTCGCGTCAAATGGTCTCACGCTGGCTGCCTACAAGATAGAGGCTGTACTAGACGACGGCCTTTTCAAATAATTGAAGCCACCCATCAAGTCTTTGTCCTGCTCGCGACAGAAAGGCAGGTGGCTAATCTATAGTGTGGTAAGGTCGATCAACCTTCTGAGCACCGTCCGTTAGGAGATCTGTTTACGGCCGAAGCTGAAAAGCAGCATACCAACGATGCGCACTACGATACCTAAGTTCCTACCGGACTGTTTTCAAGAATGCAGCACTTATAATGGCTGGAATATTCCGGTTAGATCCTCTGGCTATGGAGACACGGAGAAACAGCCCCCAAACTACAAGACGGGCGGTCACGATAAACGCATGGAAGGCGAGGCGGATAGCTACTGCCAATGACAGCTGGACACGATTGTAGCTGCCGGAAATACGGTCTTGGGTGAGTAAAAGGCACGGTCAAATTGACTCTTACGTGACACGGGTGTTTTAGTTCCTATTTATATAGCAGACGCTGTGCGCTGGCTATATTAGTCGCAGAACGTGTCTCTTCGTCTGTCCACGATTATCTGCTGAACGGGATAAGCTAAGTCAAATTATTGGCAGACCTCTTATAGTCTACGGCTTACTAGATATCTTACTTAGCTCGCAAAAAAATTTGATTGGTATTAGCACCACAGTTGCAGACATACTCAATTCCTTGCGTCCCGCTGATAAACAGCGCAATCCTCACTCGTAGATGAAAATCTATTTGAGGCTTTCATGCCATCTTCCCCTCGTGACGTGATACCCATCGGTGGTGCTATGAGAGGGATACGGAGAGTAGGTGGACTTTCAGTTGGCGCAAGTCTCATACTTTTCGGCTTTCAAAGCTTTTCTCTACTAACAAAAAAAAAAAATAACTTAAAATATAATAAAATAACTGAGCTGTATTCAGCGGCTGTGCTTCGTCTACCCTTAGCTCCACATGGGTCATGGGTCGACATGGGTCGAGGTATCGATGAAATGAAGAAATTAAACTCGACCTTTTCGTACACTAGAAGGTGCTAAGTTTCTTATAAATATTGAGCGTTAATATAGACGGACATACTAAAGGACCGTCGGACAGACTGTAGGCAGACCGACACAGATGTTAATGTAGATCAAGAACTTGTGTACTTAATTGGACCGGAGAAGCCTCCTTCTGAAAAAAGTTTATAATCTCCCTGTATACATGTGTTTAGTACGCAGAAGGAAACATCTCAGACCCCATAAAGAATATTTGTTCTTGATCGGGACGACGAGCTTAGTCGATCTAGCTATGCCAATATTTGTGAACGAAACGATTTCGGAAGTATATATTCCCCTAAGCCGTACGCATTATTTAATTCGTTATCTCCTTCCATTTTAAAATATCGACACATATTGATCGATTTTGAAACAATGTTTTTTTTAAGTATAACTCGAAAATGTGCAGACTAAGAACACTTTTTACAGTTTTGGATAACTCCCCCAACAAAATCAGGTATACAAGCTTCATCAAACTATAACCAAAAATGTTAATCCAGGTTAATCGATTTTCCATTACCAGTGTATCTGAAAGTGAAAAAGAAGCACAAATGTTGCATAAAATGGCATAAAATGCCTTCGTGTGTTTTTCTGTATGTATCTATTGAAGGATGCGAGAATAAGAATAGTTGCTAAAGGCAGCTTGACCCAGAGTTCAGGGTATTTCCTAGTCGGGTACTCCTGGATAGACGACTCTTACCTGTAGTTACTAAATTTGTTATTTACCACTTTTAACGCCAAATTGCAAGGCAACTTGAAATTGAAGGTTTTTATTTTGTATTTGGAAACTTCAAAAAGGAGACAGACAAGTTTTTTAAAAAAAACCTATGTTAACGAAACTTTTTGCTGCAGGCATTTATTGTAGTCGCCTGTATAAGTATACTAGATATATCTCATATATAATAAATGTGTAGCTGTAGTAAGATCGAATTACCCATTTATGGCTGTCAATTCCTTTAGGTCTAAAGCTATAATCATAAAACTAAGCATGGTCCCGTCTAATTGCTGTCGGTGTCAGCCTGATCCCATTACTACATGTGCCAATAATTAGTACTTTATTGAACAGATATTTTGTCAATCGGGTTTGTAAGTATATGTCGGTAATACTCGACATCATGTGTGGCCGCTCTAGGGGTAGGGGTAGAGTAGGGGTTCATCAGTAGTCATTATTCTATCACTAAAAGTGTTGAAGATAAAGATATTCCTGATTTGCCATGCCCTCAGCGGGCGTAGGATAAATTTCATAACACTTTATCAATGTGCCCTGCAAACAAGTGCATATTCTGCAAGGCTCAAGGCTCAAGGCTCTCTACATAGCACAAAACCAATATAGACTTTACACATTGAGTGTGCAATATGGAAGAATAATGAAAATGTTAATTCATGATCTAATGTTTATTTAAACTTTATGCATGCATCCTAAGGGTTGCAAACATTTTAAAAGTACATAGATACATGCATATGTATATATGTACTCAAATTTGATTATATGGTTGTGCCATCTACGTATATTTGTCCCTTCTACACTGAACTTATCCAATATGTTAGGAAAAGGCATTGAGAAGGGGCTGCTAAATAAGCGCACAAAGGAACCCCATAAAATGCACCCTGCTATGTAAGCATTGGCATTTCCCCTCAATGAAGGTTGAAAGATTGTGAGGTAAAGTGTTTCGGCTTTGTGCGACTTAATGCGTTTTTTATGTTATGTACAAGGAGAACTTTACTTGGTTTCGTTGGGTTAGGATTGGTGGGTTGTTGCCTTTGAGTCAAATGAAACGTACAAGGGGTAGTTGAAGTTTTTTGTTATCGGCTTCTCTTAGAGATGAGAATAAGTATTTCATGCGTGCTTGTTGGTCAATATGCAAACATTAACTTAATCTATTTGGTGTTTAAAAATATATAACAAAACGCCTTATAAAATATTTTGCATTAATAAAGTTAAAAATGCGTTGTTTGTGCCAAAAAAGAACCTACATCGATATCAAGAGTTCTTAATATAGCGAAAAGCTAGTTTATGCGGGAACCCACTCTTAAAATGTAGACGGACGGACATTGACGCAGCTCGTCGTCAAACACTTATATTGATCAAATCTTCCCGCAAGTGTAAAATAAATGAAAGAAATGATTGTTTAGAACCTTTTTTTCCATGCGATCATCATCAAACTCATTTTAAAGATCAAAGAAAAAACATGTTTCGCGCTTTTCCGAGGGTTTATATCTCGGTGACAAGTTGAGGGTAAATTAGGGCTCACTTTTAAATTTGGACAAAAAAAAAACTGCGTTATTATTTCAGAAAACACCATATATTTGTAAGATTAGCACACTTAAAATGAAAAAATAGTGTGGGTCCGCTTATGTCAGCTGCCTGTATGTTATGTTTTCTTCGGCACTCAGAAGACAAGTTTAGATTCTTGTTGAGTGTGCTAATCCTCCTCCTCCTGTTTAACATGCTCTTCTCTCTGCCCCTCGGTACATATTCAAGGCCTCGTTCCTGCATACATATGTATACGATTCTTATGATATTTTCCGCTTTACTCCCAAAATACTTTTATGTATTCCTAAAGCCGATTGAAAAATAAAATGTAACATGTTTCTTTAACTATCTCCGATTTCGGATACGATAAATTATATACATTTTCTTGTCTTATAGTAAGTGGGATTGGAGATGGATCCTATTGCCTGGCACATACATTTACACAACTGCAATAAAGCGTTCTAAGTAATTTCTAATAGGAAACAAAAATATATAATTATACTCGCTCGAAGGTGCCTTATTTTGTTTATTAAATTCATTTGCATAAATTTACTGTACCCTTAACCATTTTCGGGCCCGGGCTTGTTGATCGTTGGATTATCTGCTTTCATTATATTTAATATTTTCAAGATGGACTGGTAAATATGTTTTTTTTTTTTGGTGCGTCCCAAATGTAACGGACAAATGTACCTAATTCAACACAATTCGATTTGGTAATCAAAAGATAAACGGGTGGTAGATGCGCCCAAGCAACTGAACCCCAATTTCGACTACTCATCGAAGGTTAGAAGTGGTGGTGGAATCTGGACAGATTGCTTGCTCGTTTGCCGTTCTGGGGTACAGAGAATGTAGAAAGAATAACAATCAAATTTTTGCAGTAAGAGAAACGACAACAACCACTGATGCGAAATTGTAATTCAAAATTGACTCGTCGTTGATGCCAATGTCGATGTCGATGTCGATGTCGATGCCGTCAGCGTCAATATCAGTATAGAATATATACACACAATCACACATGCACAAGTGTCAAGTATATACAGATCTCTGTGTTGAACGTCGTGCGCGTCGTTGACTTGTTTGGCACATAAAGATACAAATGTATCTACAGCAGACAGCAAATGGCGTATATAAAATGATTGGACATGTGCCTGTATTGGAGTCTGTCGCTTCGTGAGAGTGCTTCGGTGGTTGTTTTGTTGTCTCTATGTGTGCGCGTGCGAGGGAGAGAGCACGAGAGCGCACAAAGCGCGCACCAGAAGGAGAGGGCAGCTGCTTACGCGTTTTATTGCCCATCGCTGCGCCTTTTTGCTTCAACTGCTGCTCCTCTGGCTTTTCATCTTTTCATCGCTACTCAGCAATGGTGCTGCCATGTGGTTGCTCTCAGCTCTCAACTCGCAGTTCGCAGTTCTCAGCTCGCAGCTCCCAGCTCTTGTTTATTCTCATTCCTATTTTCATTTCGTTTTCGTACTCTATCTCGGTCCTTTGGCGTTCTGGTAAGCGTAAGTGTTGCGGCCGCTGCTTCTGCTTTGGGTTTATGACCTTTTTTTTTCGTCTAACTAAGCGACTCGACGCTGTCATCGGTATAGTCATCCACATCCAAAACTCACATAGGCACAAACAACCACACCAGCTTGCACGAGGCAGCACTGGCCAAGGCATGTGAGACATTCATTCTGTCTCTCAACCACCGCCAAGCAATACCTTTTCCCCTGCGCGGAACGCGTCCGTTCGCTGTCTGTATCTGATTGCTCTGGCTGTTGCTGTGGCTTTGGCTTTTGCTGTGGCTGTTGCTGTTGCTGTTACTGTTACTGCCGGCTCTGCCTTCCCGTTCTCACTCTCAATTTGCGTTTATGTTGCTTTTTGCTTCGTTCTTGTCTCGACGCCACTTCGTGCGCCGCGCCGACTGCGCTTCCACAGCCTTCGCCGCGACATCGGTCTCGGCAGCCACTGACTGAACTGTCAAACTGAACAGCAAATATTATTTTTTGGACACTTTGCTCTCAGGTCGACGCCGCGTTAACCAGACGTCCTGCTTCATTCATCATCCGGCAATTGATATCTGCTCAGGCAGCCGGGCTTCAAGGAGCAGACAATGGCCAAAGAATGCTCGATAGCCAAATCGAGGTCGAGGCTTCCACTTTTCTCGAGGTGTCGTATGCGACAGTCAGACTGTAGAAGGCGAAGCCCATGGCTGCCATTGTCTGAACAGGCCGCTCAAACGGAGAGTGGTTCCAATTGTGAAAAATTAAAATCAAGTTAAAAAAAAAAGAAAACAAAAATAAAACCAATTCAAAACCAAAACCAAAAAAAAAAGAAAAAAAGAAACTGGTTGTTAATCAATTCAAGCCGGTTCGTGTGCTGCCTGAAATAACAGAATTAACTATTGACATTGACAAAGAAAAACTGCGGCTCCCAAGGACTGCTCCGCTCGAGCGCCTTCCGGCCAGCTGTGAATACTCACGTATATTTGAATGTGGATTTCAATTTCGCGTGTGATTTCCGATGCTAAGTAAAAGTTAACGTTAACAACACTTGTCGGTCTTTCTTGTGCTTTGTGCTTTGCGCTACGTACGCCTTGTTTGTGTTCTGTTTTCCGTTTGTGGTTTGGTTCGCGGTCGCTGTTCTATAGGTGGACCCGGGACCTTCATATTTACTCTCAACATTCATGCCCGTCCAGCTCCACGCGGTCGTCGGTTTCTCTGGTTCGCTGGGCGTGGATTTAATTAAATTGATTTGTGACCGCCATTTTTGACATTTCGGACATTAATAGTGGATCTGATTTATGGTACAATGTTATCGTGTAAACAAAGTCGAAGTCAAAGTCAACTTTGAAAATACAACTTGGTCGACAACACCTTTAAGGTAAGTAAGTACATACGTATAATAAGGTGTAAGTTACATACCACGGAAGAGTTAGCCAAATCCTTATTCCTTCTGTGCATTCTGACTTCAGACTTCAGTTTGAAGACTATATTCTTACACACACGAAATCCACATAATTGATATACATATATGTACATACAGCAATTATGCAGTAGAGAGAAATGCAAGTACGTTAAATTACTGCTAAGCAAATATTCCAGAAATATACAGTTTTGTAAATTTATGCAATAATTATAAAAGTGCTAATTATAATATGGTAAATAAAATAAGGAATAGGTAACTACAAGTTATATAAGAAGTGTTTGTCATGACTGACTGATTCAGTATGTACTATACGATAACCCTCACACCATAATGCATATGTATATCTTATAATCAATATTATTAGATATTATGGAAATGGGAAGATGTATGTATGTATGTGTATGACATAACTTCGTCTGTATAGTTTCCGAGACCGACGCATTTATATAGTTGGGCTGACAGACGGTCATTGCTAGATCGATTCGACTATAATTTTTAATAAACCCCTTAATTTGATTGAATTGAACAATATTTATGAAGCCTAACGAATCTGTATTAGTAATAGAACACCGATTTATTTTGTACGATGTTATCATAGTATTCGCCTGATTGTTTCTATAGGAGCTGTGAACGATATATATCAGATTTTGATATTGATATATTGATCAGATTTTGCTCGTATGATAAAAACGCAATGAAGTATTTACTTGAAGAGGTTGGTCAAGATATTTTCTAAAACAATGAAGGTTTTCGTATTCAGATAGTTACGGACAGTTACTTTGGCGCTATATGACTCCTTTCCAAATTCGGGCGATGTTAATAAATGTTCTGGCGGAAGAAAATAAGAAAATACGTAAACTTCCTCAATTGAATTAGAATTTTAGAATTATAAACAAGGACAATAAATACGTGTTTAAACATCGGGTGAAATTATACGCTTCTTAAGTTGTTATAATTTTAGTTTTTATTTAAAATCTGTAATAATGGTATTTGGATTGTAGTAAAATCTAAAACTAAACAATTGACAAAACTCGGATAAAAGAAATAATGGCAGAAGAAATAATGGTTGGGCGACGCATCATCGTACATTTGTAGTTCAAAATTCAAAAACTCAATATGTGATTGATTTTTGATAGATTGTTCTGATCTGGCCCGTTCTGATTAATTTTTTTATATCATTATTAATACAAGCTTTTAGGCATAGTCATCTTATCCTAATCAACATCTTTTCAAACATAATTGGTGTGGGGACCTACGCATAATTTTCTAATTTAGTTAATCTACCTTAATATAACTTTTAATATGATATGCATATAAATTATGCCAAAATATTTTCGACCTGCTTAAAACAATATCTGTGAGTACAGACTTTAATATAGTTTATAACACCGGATAAGTCTGTTATAAACTCTGCTCATCAGGTATTTCAAGGGAAGAAATACCGGGGACACTCGAAAATATCCAAAGTTTTTACTAGTGTAGTTTACAGTGAATGAATCAAATAGATATTCTTATATCTTGCTCTTAGTAAGTCGTATGTAATTTTGTATTCTCCTTAGATTTTTCACAATACATGATGTCATGAATTGAAATGTGAGATATACTCTCATCAAGATAAAGAGTTCTGATAATATGGGTACGCCCACTGAGGCGTAGCAAATCGAACAAATTTAAATTTTGGACAGTTCAAAAGCAGACTATTGACGAGTTCCCGTAATGATTGATTAAATAATACCTTTTTTTTTAAATATAGTTTTTTAGGCGTCTTTTTGAGAAAATTTTGTTTCGTGTATAATATAATATAATGGAATAGCGGGTATATCCCGGTCTAGCCCATGAAACGTTTTGTGTTACATATTTTACATATTACCTTTTCACTAAATACGCGCCTGTGGAAAATTTAAATCTACCCATCTTGATCTCCACTTCTATTAAAAAATATGTTTAAAGTGCATCGAATAAAGAACCAAATGTTGAAATCAATGAGTTCTGCTCATGTTAGTCATGCGGTGAGAATCTTGAAGCTGAAGAATAAAATTTCGTTATTGAAACTTTTGACGCCCAAGAACGTATCAAACAAATTCTCACAAAGATCTTTGAAAATGAGTTTGAAACAAAAAGCTTTCATACAACCGTTTTCCGTTAATTTACCACAGTGTGGGTGAAATTAACGGTTTGGGCTCTGCGTTAATCACCAATCAGTCAGTCAGTGAGTCATTCAGTCAGTTAGTGCAAACAGTTGTATATATAGAGGTATTCCATTTAAAAAATGGGGTTTTTGTAGGTCTATTTAAGTGGAACAGTTCCCTTATCAAGAAAAGGGAAGACGTAGCCCTGTCACTGAATAAAGTGCGAAGTTTGAGGTGTTTTCGTGAATATTACTTGTCAGCGAAAGTTACATTTGTTTTTTTTTAAATAAAAGAGTTCTCTATTCAGAAGAGAAAGTTCGGATGCTTGTGACTGTAAGTACTTCCGAATAGAGCATTCTTCTTTTGTAAACAAGAACAAATGTAACATTCGGTTGTATATGCAAAAAAGGCACACACCTTTCCGACTACTTTCCATAATAAAAAGAAAACAAACTGAATTACTAAATAGGTAGAAGACAGAGGAAAGGGTTACTTTAGGTGCCTTTCAAATGATTTATGGTACTACAAACTGAGAGACGACCTTTCGCGATGCATGCAAGACAGCTAGTGACGTAAAATGCGGTCCCGAACACAGGACTTGATTGTGGCACAGTTTCGGCGTAATGTCGGTCCCAAATTAGTTCGGGACGGTGTGGTCCGGGGAAAGCGTGAAGTCGGCCCGTTTATGACCACATCATAAAGCACCCGCACTAGCAGCTCGAGCCTCAAAATATTTTGATTCTGACAAAGGTTATACCAAGACCATAGAAAACAAGCAGCTGGAGACTAAATTTGGACGAAAGGATTGCGAAGTGGAACTGTTCCGTGGGAGCAGCCCAACGCACAAACTGTATGTGTATATGAGAATATGATGTAACATATGTACATCTGTCACAACCACCGTCAATTGAACGCGCAGCGAATGCAGAATGAACTAATTAATGACGTGCGGGACATCGTGTTTTTGTAACAGTTTTTGTGGCCCTCCACCAAAGTACCAAGAGTGGGAGCTTGCGCAATGCCTGTACATCTTCCCCTCGCTCCGTCAGCCAGCCAAATGGCAGCAAATGTAAATGGGGGTGGAGGCGATAACACAAGTATAAGCGCAACGAAATGTGTTCATAATATTCATACATACACTGCAATACATTAACGTCAAGTGGAGTGAATCGGCTGAGCCATGAGGCATAGGGATAAGTTAGAACTCCTTGCCTATTACGAGGGCTTGTAGTCGTGGCCCGGCTATCAGTATCAGTCGAAATATGGCTTAAAAATAATGTAATTTATTCTGACACTTTCATAAAAAGAATCCGAAGTCTTGGCAACAAAACAAGACATTATCGTCGCATAATTAATGCCACATGTTGCAACTCGTCGCGGAGTGTTGAAAAGGGGTAGGGAAAAGAGGGGCGCCCCTTATGGCGCTGTGCGACATAAAAATATCCAGACATCTTGGTCTGAAGTCTTCAAGTTACTGTCGCTGCTGTTGTTGGCGGCACCAAGATATATCATAAAGCCATTCGAATTTTAATTGCCTTGCTAGAGCGTCGGCCCCAAGAGTCATTTCCATATTGAGCGCTTCTCATTTGAATAAATTTATCAACATGGTAATCAGCGACGGGAAAACCCACACGGTCCCACTCCATTCTAACTTCATTTCATCCTCATGCCATCCATTTTCCAATTCATCCCGCGCGCCGCTTGACTTCCATGATGTCTTTTCCTTTTTTGCTTTGCCTTCCATTTTCGCCGGCATGGCGCATGCGTCGCTCTGGCAACGTGGCAGAGACCATTAAAAAATGGGCGGAGCTAAGGTCGCCATAGCCAAGGGTTCAACGCACAGGCGGCGTGGTAAATTTCGGTTACCTCAACCTCAGAGTCTCGTGCTCAGTCTGAATTATGGTGAATACGTGCTGGACATACATATATACATACAAGACTTATTCCGCGGTATACGAATGAGATAAATGTATATATTTTAAAACATTAAATTCTGAATATGCCCTGTCACTTTGTACAGTTGGTATTAAAAAAAAGAAGAGATTTGATAATCTTTTCTACTCTTTTCTTGATCATTATCAAGAGCCCACTCGATCTAGATACGTATATCCCATTGTGCGTCCAAAGAGGCTGCAAAACTCCATTTGGTCTTGGTTCTTGGTCATTTTACAGGTGCAAAAAAAAATTGTAACACATTGGCGAAACATCGTCGACACAGCGGCGACACATCGGCGACCCCATATTCTATATATGATTTGAGCAACAAACTGGATTCATTCGGTCAAATTTATATAAAAAAGATGTATGCTCTTTGTAAAGCCAGTAGGTTTTCGGAGTTGGATATGTATTTAACAGGTAGCAGAATGTATATCAATATACATACATATATATTTCAGATAGATTACCTGCCTACTCAATTTAGCCTTATATGTCTGTTTCTGTGCTCGGTTGTCCGTCTATAAAAAACGTACCTCAGAGACAAAGGCACAAAACTCGGTATAAGGATTCTCGTGCCTTTTGAATTTTAGATGACACAAAAAAATATGTTTCATTTTTGTCCTGTTAGTCTATGGGACTATTTAATTTACGTATAAATTATCAGTATTATTAGGCTGAGGTACAAAGTCAGTTCTATGTAAAGGTATATTTTTGCTGTTCGCTCTCCGCTCATTCAATAAGATAATAAAACCAATTCATGGTAATATTATGTGTTACATTTCGCGAAAATCAAACAAACCTATTTTTATCATAACTTTCGAACAGGGAAATTATAAAACACTTAGACAGGCGCAGATATACACGAGTATATTATTTAAAGTATCAAGAGTTTGATTATTGCATTTGATGTTTCGAGGAGCACTTCTAAAGAACGATTGAACTTTCCGCGTGGAGCGTGGAGAGTCAGAACAACCGACTTCTCTTAAAAAAGTTTGTCAGGTAGTCAATACAAAAACGTTTTTTGTAATAATTGATTCTAACAACTCAGATCTTAATAAGTACATATATTCTTGATCGGGACGACGAGCAACCCATGTCCGTATGTGCTACACAAAAAGCTAGTTACATGAAATTATAGGCTCGAGCCTATCTTTTCTCTCCCTAAAA